AGTAGAATCCCGGTATGACAAACTTGCACCAACTTTGAGAACAATCTGCACTGCAGCACTGAAAATTTCTTTGAATTGGGATTTTCAAGACAACAATGACTCGAATTTTCACAACGAAGATTTTCTGATGGGGGACTCGTTGCCTAGCTAAATTGTGCCATATCACCTCTTCCAGCACTTTCCCCAGTCCAACAACTACGTGCTCAGACAAGAAGTCGGAACCCTTTTTCCGTCCGTTTCCAGCATGAACAAGTAGCTCATTTCGACTTTCACTTATTTTGCGGTTGTAGAATTAAATTATTTGGAGCAATACGTGCATGTACAGGAAAAAATACTTCAGTCTAAAAAGTTGGAACGTCGGACAATTTCGGTTTGTTCTACTAATATTTTACTCTTCAGCTTAGCTTCATCCGCGAACCAACTTCTGCGAGAACTTCAAAACATTAATTTCTCTTGCACTGAAAATGGTTCTCATAACAGAATTCTACCAGTAAATCGTATTGTCCATTTGTTGCAATTGGTAATCTGAGGTAATTCCTTCAAGGTAAATGGTACTCCGCAGAACAACAGTGCAGAGATTCGTAGGCATATTCAAACGTCACGCGCAAGTAACAAACGAGTCCCGCTTTGCGTTCATAGTTTCCCCCACTCAAAAGCCACCATCCAACCTAAAAAAAAACGAACAAACAAATCAATGAGGGGGAACGTGATCCACATGATCGAGAGGAAAGCAACTTACGCGGGAATGGTCGAGGAAAACAACAAATATCTCAATGATTGAAAGCTCTCGGGTTTTCAAGTCGTGACCACTTCACGCCGTGCAAAAACGAAACAACTCCGCTATTCGAAATACTTCCACGCAGAAACGATAAGAAACTTCTCTATAAAAAGCTCCGAGTCAAGCACCGCAATGTGCGCAGCTCGACCAATGAGCGCGTTCGCAGTAGCCGGCAATGCGTGATGCACATCGTATCGCACGAGTGTCACGTCCGGCTTGGCTATGATGGGCTGCAGGATTCCAGTCACCATTTCTCGCATTGCTGCGCCTGAAGAGTGAACAAGAATCAATGGTTGAAATGAGACCTCCTTTCGCATCATGCTACAGCACTTTCAGGCACTAATCACTCAAGAACGCTATGGCTCTTCCTCTTCAAACAACATTCAATGGGTTCAGGGCAAAATAAATTCATCAGGAGTAGCAATGAAGTCGGTTATCTTTATCTGAAAGTCCAAAAGGACAATCTCAGTTGAAATACTATATTTGATGAAAAAAAAAATTGGCTTTTTTTCCTAATAACACAAATAATCACCTGCTGAAATAAATTCTTGAAATTTTTTCTTGAAACCCAGCTTTTAAGTTTTTTGAAGACATTTCACCGTACTTGCTTCGCTATTTCTCAACCAAATTTGGCAATACAAGTTTTGGTTGTAGGACTTAACAGCAGTTATTTTAAAATGTTCTGCTGGTCCGCAAAAAGAAATTATGGAAATTTGCTAGTCTGCAAAAATTTTATGGAATTTGCTGGTCTGCAGGCCCAAAAAAGGATTGGGAACACTGATTTGGATTATACAGTACTGCTCTAGAGGAAATTCAGACAGGAACTTAACACGAATTCGACAAAGGAACGTTAGACTTGGCCAGGTTCAACTGTACAAAAACTTCACGTAGCAAAGAAAGCGAAAAATGCATGAACCCTTAAGCTATTTAGGAGAGGAAAGAAACAGAAAAGAAACGTCGTCCGACTCACCCATAACTGTGCCATCCTTGGCTGCAGCCTTGCACAGTTCGATTCTCGCAGAGTGCATGGGAACGTATCTGTCCTGACTGGACCCGCACAATAAAATGTTCTTGAACTGATGCAGCTGCGATTCTCTGGCAA